TCATTAAAATTGCAATCAAATCCTAAGGAAATTATTTTGTGAATATTATCAAACTGATTTTAACATCTGTATGGAAAGTAGAGACCTAAAATATCCAACACAATATTGAAGAAAAACAAAGTCAGTGGACTGATAATACTATACTTCATTAGACAAATACTTCAATAGAACAGATTAGGGAACCTATAAATAGAACCACATAAGTATAATCAATTAATATTTGATGAAATAGCAAATACAATATAATGGAAAGATCATAATCTTTTTAATAAATCATACTGGAACACCAGGAAATTAATATGCAAAAAATGAACCTTGACACAGACCCTATTCCCTTCACAGAAATTAACTTAAATGTATTATTGGTCAAACATAAACTGAAAAACTCTAAAACTACCAGAAGATAACATCATAGAAAATCTAAGTGATTTGGGGTGTAGCAATGTGTTTTTTGATATAATAACAAAGGCATGACCCTTAAAATAAAAATAATTAATATGTTGAACTTCATTAAAATTCAAACCTGCTTTAAGGAACACACTAATAAGAGAATGCAAACACAAACCATGGGGGATAAACCTTTGCAAAATACATATATGATAAAGAATTATTTGAATAATAACAATGAGGAATAAACAACCCAATTTAAAAATGGGCAAAAGACTGAACAGACACTTCATCAAAGAATATGTTCAGATGGCAAATAAGCATAAGAAAACATGTTCAACATCATATCACTAGGGAATTGCAAATGGAAAAACAAGATATTCCTATTGTTTTAGTATTTTTCATTTCTCTGACCAAAAAAACTTGATGAGAACAGAGAATGAAAGTTTATTTGGGCTCACAGTTTCAGAGAGGTCTAGATTCATATATGTCCAACTCCACAGCTCAAGGCCTGAGGTGATGCAGAACATCATGGTGGGAAGCCATGGTGGAGGAAAGCAGTTCATGGCATAGCCACCAGCCAGCAGAAAGCAAGCTCTGCTCACAAGAGACAAACTATAAACCCCAAATGCACACCACCAGTGATCTACCTCTTCCAACCACACCATACCTGCATATAGTTACCACCCCGTTAATGCATGTCTGTGGTTTAATATTCTGACCATGTCACACCTCTCAAATCTGATCATTTTACCTCTAAAAATTTTTTCATTATCTCACATATTAGCTCTTGGGGGACAACTCAGATCTAAACCCTAACACATACCTGCTGGAAGAGCTAACATCCAAATCTCTGGGAATTTCAATTTCTGGCAAGGATGTGGAAAAATAGGAAGTTTTAATTTATTGCTGGTGGGAATACAGATTTATACAATGACTTTGGAAGATATTTTGGCTATTTCTTACCAAACTAAGAATAGCTTTCTATATTCAAATTAATATAAAACTGGAGTAGATTATGTTTTGTGAATGCATTAATATGTCCCAGTAAACCACAATATTATGTATAATTTTGATGCCCTAATAAAAGCATTAAAAATTGCATCAGGCTGGGGTTATACCTAAGTGGTGAAGTATTTGTTTAGCATGTGTGAGGCCTGATGTTCAACTCCTAGCACTGCAAAAGGAAGCAAACAAAAAATCCTACACATCTATACATTAAAGTTTATATCAATTTTATTCACAATTTCTATAATTTAGAAGTAACCAATATTTCCTCTAGTGGGTGAATTTAAAAAAATCAACTATGGTGCATATGTGCCATGGAAGTATATTTAGCAATAGAACAGGTAATTAATGAAACCTGAAAGTCTTGAATTCAGTGCATATTACTAAGTGGAAAAAGCCAGTCTGAAAATTATGATTTCATCCATATGACTGGGGAAAAAGCAAATTTATAAAGATAGCAAAAACATTAGTAGCTGCCAGAGGTTAGGGAGGTGATGAACAATTACAGTACAGAGGGTATTAAACATTGGAAATGTTCTATATGATACTCAGATGGTGGATACATATTATGTATTTGTGAAATGCCATAGGTGTGTATAAAACAAAGTAAATTCTAATATAAATATAATAGTGAATAATGTATCTGTCTTTGACAATTGTAACCATATACCACACTAATGTAAAATATTGATAAGTTGGATAACTATGTGTGCTGGTACAGCGGAGGTACTATATGAGGAAATTTCAGCAAAAAATTATTGTAGAGGAAGTAAGTATTCACTTGAAGTCTTAAAACTGAAGTAGAAGAATAATCAGGAAGACAGTACACTGATACTGAAGGGATTGGTGCTTGATCACTGTACAAATGGCAAGAAATTGAAGAAGACAACATGACTTGATAAACAAATCAATGTAGGATCTAGATGGAGAAATAGAGAATTACCGATTTGTACACTTCATGGCTAAAAGAAAGTCATGCCATGCTCTTATATAAAAATTACAGGAGTTGCTGGCATACCAAGGTATATTAGAAATAATGCTTGCACGATTTTCTCGAAGGCACAAGGAATGAGATTACCCATTTTGGTCATTTTTTTTCAAATGAATTTGTCTTCATTACCATAATATTAAAAGTCTATATACATATCTGGCATGTGCGTAAGTGAGCCAGATTGCTGGAGTGTTGTGTACTATTGATAGCTTTTAACTCAATGTTTTCAGCTTTGGGAAAAGATTGACTTACATAATTTAGTATTTGCATATGCTTTGCATGTGGAACTCATATAGGGTCACTGTTAAACTGGGTTGTACTGTAAATATTAGCTTTGAATCTAAGGCATTATAGCCAATTGATGGTTAGTTATTGCAGATCATGAACTGAAAGTGTGACTTTTAAGTCCTTCATGGTTATTTGAAATGTTTGATGAACTATATTTTAAAACTGTCAATGCCTGTTAATTCTGTTTAGAGCTTGCATTTAGTTTGCATGTCAATTGGACTTTAAGTAGGCGTATTTCTTGATTTGGCCAGATGGTGTCTGTGTGATACAGAAAATCTTTGAGAATAAGGAAAGATTATTACACTGTTTAAAGAAGTATTATTGAACACAGATTTATTTAAGCATTTGAAACATAAAAGGAGGTACTAACAGCTAGTTTTTATCTATGCTTTGATCATTTTTGACTTAAATACTATGTACATAAAGAAGAATTGAAATTTAAAACTATCTTGGATTTGTGGTAAATGAAGGCCTTATATAGACACCAGATTTAGGTCTTTGATGATTGTTATATTGATCATAATATGATGGTTTTAGGGGAAAGATATGCAGTGGTTAATTAATTATGTTTAAAATATCCCATCAGTAGAGTATAAACAACACAATGAATAAAGTATAAAATGCATATTCATCTAAGTGATTCTCTAGAGCTAACTGAAAACAAACATCTTGTTTAAGAAGATGGTTTCCACATATAAGTAATGTCATTTGGTACTTGTCTTTCTGTAGCTGGTGTATTTCATTTAGCATGATGTTTTCCAGCATGGTAAGTATTTGAAGGGATAAATATGTTAATTGGTTGTATGTAGTTAATCATTTCACATTTTACATACACATATGTGAAATGATATATAATTTCACATTATATGTATAATAACACCATTTTGTACTTATAAATACATATAATTATGATCTGTATATTTGCAATCAAAGTTAAAAAAGAATGTTGGGGATAAAGGAACAGATTAGGCAAAAATCACCAACTTGAATGAAGATGTTTTTAGGCCTTTCCTGAGGGAAAAAAATTAAAATAAATAAAAATAAAGATAAGACTGTGGGGAAAACCATTTTGAATTCAATTTTGTGATCCTTGTGTTAAGGCCTTTCTAATAACTTAATAATATGAAGAAAATATTTCATAGCTGATACATTTGTTTTGGTAGATTGCTCCTAAAAAGAATTTAAAGAAGAGTGAGCCATAAGTGAAAATGGGCAGGGAATTATTTTTTATATTCTCTGGGATATGAAGGCATAGACATTACAGAGAATGTTACTTTTCTAGTCTTCTATGTAGAATTTAAATTTCAAGGCTTCTTTTGCCCTAGCATAAATCTGATGACACTTTGTTTTGTGGCTATCTTTATCAGAAATATCTGTGACTGATGAGTTCTTTATGTAGGAATTCCTTTAGTTGAGGTGATCACTTTAGTGTTGTATGAAACCTGAGGTGCTCCCTTTGCACTTTCTTGTTATTAGCTTTAATCAACTATCATAGTTGTAATCAGGACATGGACCTCAGAAAAATTGTCTCCACTTCGTCCTTCTAGCCTCCACTGAAATTAGATTTCATTTAAATTAAAAACCACTCTGTTGAACCCACTGCTAAGGGACGGATAAGCTACAGAGTGTGAAAAAAATGTTTTCCTAGAAAATATGTGTTTTGAAGTGTCTGTATTGCTACAACTCTTCTTTTGAGAATGAAGTTTAGGGAGACTCTGAAAATATTTCCTATAGATTCCCTGTTGCTTTTTTTTATTCTGTTGTGATATGGGAAGCAAGAAAAATTGAAGGGATAGCATAGAATAAAATGAGATATGATTAATATTTGAAATTGACAAATATTTCAAATTTGAGCTATGAGCATTTGTTTTTGAGATTTATATCTAAAAGTTTATAATTTATCCAATGTCTTGTTAATAATTCTGAAACTTAGATTATATCCTGTTTTACCAGTATCTGTATTAAGTCTCTTAAAATTAAATACTAGAAATTATGAGAATATCAATACATTTTGATTACAAAGAATGTTACATCTCACTTGTTAAATGCAATGATATTGGCTTAAGTATTTTTGTTTGTTCTTATGGATAAAATATATTGCATCTTATAAATATTTTGTGAGTAAAAACGAGGACAAGATCTATTTATAAGTAAAGGTCAGTAAATATAAAATATTAATTTTTTTAAATGATATAAAATCTCATAGGTACTATTAATGGCCCCAAAAGATAAAAAATAAACCAAGAAGTATGAATTTGTATACTTTTTAGAAAACGATTTCATAGCAACATGATGTAACAAGTTTAAAATGCACTGTCTCTTTTAGGACTGGATCTGCCATTTATGATGATGCCTCATCCTCTACTTCCAGTCAGCTTACCTCCTGCATCAGTTGCCATGGCAATGAATCAGATGAACCATCTCAATACTATTGCCAACATGGCTGCTGCAGCCCAGATTCACAGTCCACTCTCCAGAGCTGGTGCCTCTGTTATAAAGGTAAGGATGATTATTTAGAAGATGAAAAAGGTTTTAATTGCATATAAATTTGAATAAATTCTTAGCAATACCACTACATCTTCAGTAGTAACACATAACTCATTGACTTTGTATATTATCATATAGTATTGATGAGTTTGGTTTCTGACCAGGCCTGCCAGGTTTGTTATTGTTTGTGTTTGTTACTTTTCATTATATGGCCACACTAATTTTTAGTTCTGTTTTCCTCTCTTGAAGTCATGTACACAAGTGTGTGGGAGGCATGGCCAGACAGTAGAAGAGTATGAAAAAATCATTCCCATTGCTAGGGTGAAACAAAGTAAACACTGCATCTTTTAGGAGTTTGAGGGGTAGTTATGAGATATGACACACCATGGCATAGGACTTATATTCAGAGAAACTCAGGTTCCAATTCTGATTTGACACTGATTGACTGAATGACCTTGGGCATAGCACTTAACCTGCCTGAATGTGTTTCCTCAACTGTAAAATGAAGGTCATAATAATAATCTATCCCAGTCATTTCATTGACTGTCTATGGATAATGTGAGTAAAATACATGTCAAAACCATGAAACATTAAACAAACATTTATGGTAATTTGTCACACTATCATTATTTTCATTAGGATAAAATTTTTCAAAAGTTTATGGCCATATGTAACACTAATAATGAAATTCAAATGATATCTTGTCATTTCCTCCTCTGTTTTCTATTATTCTTAGACATGTTCTCTATGCTTTCTAAGTATTTATGAACTAAGCTTTTGAATATTTTCTTTCTCTTAAGAAAATGGTGATATAAGAATCTAAGAGTATGGTCAATCATAACAACACATTGGTTTGTTCCTTTTCCCCTTCATTACCTGGCAAACACATTCTTGAAATAGACACGCAATTACATTGGACAATATGGGAAACTGATAAATAACAGATACTTTAACTTTCAGAAACTTACAGACTAAATGTGAGATATACAAGAATCCATGCAATGTATACTAACAAGACAGACTATGATGAATAGCATAAGAGAATCACCAAGTACTACTGGAATTTAGAGGAGGGAGAGATCATATCTACCTTGGAGAAGAGAAGGGGCAGGTAAAGACACTGCAGCTGACGGATATGAACTGAGCCCTGCAATACTGATATGATTGTAATAGATAGGCATGGGGATAAGAGAAGAGAAAGCAGAAGAAATATGAGATTCTGAATATTTTGGTCACATTTTAAATTCCACTTCTAATTCGGGTTTGGGAACACTTCTAAAACACAACCTTATATGAAAGGAAAAGAAAAATTGGTCATTTTTATAAAACTTCATATGTATTTCAATGACTAATTGTAAAGATCATAGCTGTTAATGGGTTAATGTATACTAGCTGTTTGAATATTTGGTCAGAGTGTAAACTGAGAATTAGAGTTGTCTTTGAGAACAAAATTACCCATGGACATTATTTAAAATACAGAATATAATTACCATGATTTTAAAATTAGATGGTCATTAAGAAAACATGACCTGCATACAAATTTTGAAATTCAATTAGGAAACAAAAACATACTTCACTGGTATTGTTATATTTGCTTTTAAATGATGGAAGAATGCTTTGACACATGCTCATGACTCTTTAAAGGTGCATTTGATTAGTTTTCATGAGGACCATTTTTCAGATTGAAATAAAATTCTGATTTTATTATTCAATAAAATGTAATTATTCAATAAAAATGTAATTTTCATTGAATTCTTGAAACTTTGGATAGTTTTTTGAAGAATTTGAAGCCAAGAGTGACTAAGGAGTGCAACTTATGACTTTCAGTTGGTCTTTCATGATAATTATTATGGTGATAGAAATGGAAGGGATTATTACCTTCTCCTTATTCCAAATGTTGCTTTGTTGTTAACTTATTAATTCAATATCATTATTTTTTTATTGGTGATTAGCCTATTTCACATACAAACTTTTAGAAAAGAAAGTCTAAACTATCACAGATACAATTTTCAGCACTTTTTAAAAGCTCAACATTAGATCATACTTTAAGTCCTGCAAAATTCACAGAAGCCATTTTATGCTGAAGATAAATGTTTACTTTTGTATATTTTGATTAAAGTAAGTTGAAAGAGACAGGATTAATTCAAATGACCTTGGATACAATTGCTGTATAAATCTACCTCAAGTAGATTTCCACTGGAGGATGATTAGATAAATGAAAATATTTGTAAATAGACTGGGCAACAGAGTGATATCCTATCTGAAGAAAAATTCAATTTCAGTGAATAGAGAAAGGCTTTTAATAAAGTTGTCATGTTTGTTTTGTTAAAGTGCTATTATGTGATATTAACATTATCATATTTAAAAATAATAAGCCATAGACCATACATAATTAAAATTAAAATTTTATAAGTCACTAAAAATAATTGAATATATATATTAGAGTGTCACCTTCCTTTGAAGAAGCTACCAAGAAGATACCAGGAATATGATACCAAATTTTAAGGATATGTTTTACACTGTTGTTTGAGTTTCAACAGAATTTGCTTTCATGTGCATCACCATAAAGAAGAGGGTTTCAAAGTTAAATCTATTAGAATCCTATAGGCATTTGGAAAATCTCTGTGTTGAGAATTCATCTCCTAAGATTACTAGGGAATATAAAAACTTGTCAATCAAATGTATAGTTTATGTATTTACATTTATATAATTTTTTTATCCTGGTAGTTTGATATAAAAACAGATGTTTAAATTGATATTTCTCATTGTTTTACAAAAAACTAGACTGAAATCATGTCTTTTATATCATATTTAACATTTAGAGGTAAAATATCCTTCCAACATATGCATGGTCAGAAAATTTAGCATTTAATGTTTAGAAAGAAATGACATAGCTATATAATTTGATTTCTTTCTGACAAATCTAGTATAAATTAGGAAATGTTAGAATGGTCTAATCAGAAACATTCTTTATTGTATAATCAATATAACCAATTTAAAATACAGCTGCAAAGCAAAATATCAAAACTTTTATATACACAGTTAGAGACTAGTACAAATTAGCAAGTGTTTATGAGTTTTAAAAAAATTGTGAAAATTCACAAAAAATGTTAACAATGTTGTTGATGTATTTAAATAGTTCTAATTGGAATTGCACTTCCCGTAAAGATTATATCTCTTAATGGGTTAGTGTCTAAAATTACTCCTAACATGGCTGATTTCATGTTACTAATATTTTAACAACTGGCTCACAAATTACTGAATATCTAACAATTAGCTTTGGATTGAATAGGCATCAAGACAACTCTCCTTTTGAAGCATTGCAAAAAATATGCAACTCAAACTTTCCATGCCAATTTTCTATCAGATCCTTTAAAGGAAATGAACACAAACTTTTTCAACCAGTTTACCTATCAACTATGTTACTTCAGAATAGTACAACAAATTAAAAGTTTTAGTAATCTCTTTAAAAATATTTGAATAAGCAGTTTGCCTTTCAATTTAAATCATAATCTTTTAGCACAGAATGATTTCAATTGAAAGGTATTTGGGCATAATTGCATTGGGGCTTTTCCAACCAATAGGTTTGAAAATACTTTTGTTCCATGGTGAAAAAAGTTAGGTTCTGATGCTTGCAAACATTCTTAGCTGGTGAAAGCTACTACATAGGAAAATAGAGTTGGGTGGCATAGTCACAAGTGCTGTGCTATTTTTTCCCACACAGCTAGAAAATAAAATCATAGCTTTTAAGAAATCTGAAAAGTGGGGTTGGTTATGGCTCAGTGGTAGAATGCTCGCCTAGCACGTGCGATGCCTTGGGTTTGATCCTCAGTACCACATAAAAATAAATAAATAAAATAAAGATATTATGTCCAACTACCATTAAAAGTAAATTTAAAAAAAGAAATATGAAAAGTGATATCACTTTTAGAGGCTGAGATTTCTAAAGAAAAACATATTATAGTTTAATATATTTTCTTACCTCCATGGATTTAAACAATTAACAATGAATCTTAGGTGTACATAATATTCTTACTATATTGTGGCTATCTAAGATGATAGCCATTCATGGAATATGTCTGTTTAAATTTAAGTTAATTAAGTAAAATTAAAACTCCAATTTCTAAGTTGCAATCAGCCACATTTTAAGGGCTTAATAGCTACATTCTGCTTTGTGGCTAAAAGATCAGACAGCACAAATATAAATCTATATTTTCATCTTTTCAGAAAGTTTCTGAAGTAATGGATATGCTCTATACATTCTTCAGTTAGTTTCTGAAATGATGGAAAAACTCAACACATTATGTAGGGTCAATGAAATGTCCAAACCTATCAGTCATCTGTGAAAAAAGTTCTGATAATACTGATTAACAATCAAAAAATGTATTGCAGTTAGTCTTTCAGTTGCTCAGAAAGAATATTTATTGCTAAATATGTTTAATTTCAAATATTTTAAATTTTATTTTCTCTGAGAAACCAGAGACAGAGAACACATTATTCACTGATGTAACAAATGGGAAATGCATGCAAAGGGATATGTTACACTGACTTATTAAAAATAAAAATAAAACATAGGACCTCCAAATATTTGTAGAATTATATACTATTTTCAGCTAAAACTCTCATACTCTGTTAGCCATATAATATCTATTCGGAAGCAGAAATCTGAAATCATTGGAGTAGTATTATTTAAAAATAGGCTCTTTGCCTGTCTTTGAATTCTATTTTCAATATTTCTTGTTATGTGACATTAGACAAATTAATTAACCTAACTTCATCTCAATTTGTCTGTCTCCCAATGAAATGGGAATGGTAATTGTACCTACTTCACCTACTTCATAGATAATGTGATGCTAAGAAATAATGTAATGAGCGAAATAAAGTGATAATGTGATAATGTGATGAGAGAAAACATATAATACAGAACAGTGTTTGGCATGTAATAAATATTTAGTGTATATTAGCTAACATTATTTTATTTATTTCATGTTCCAGGATCCATGTAGAAATAG